CCTCATTGGACTGATTCAAGAACAGTTTTGATCAGATCTTTAAATCTGTGAAAGAATCAGTCAGAATCAGTCGTATCGTTCACATATCATTCATGCAGTAAAATGACAGAATTTAATTTTCTGTTTGAACTATTCCTCTAACGCGTTTTGCACCCTAGAATATTCCTTTAAAAATGTGACAAGGCCACATGCTGAGTTTGTTCATTTCACCCAATAGCAAGATCTGACCTTCTAGCAGAAAGGAGGGAGGAGGTGAACAGAATTCTGTCGGAGGCAGACACAAAAACGGCATTGAGCAAGGGACCGAGTGAGACAGACAGACATACGCAGCAGAGATTGTGAAGGGCAACAGAAATGAAGACAAAACTAGAACTAACTTGGAAGAGGAACAATAAATGTGTCTAACGGTCTAACTCTCGCTTCACAGCGCCTCGAGCTTTCTCCAGAGAAACTCTTCTGCAGTATGTCATTTGGAAACTGAAACGAATAGACAATCACACTAAACAGAAATGAGATAGAAAGAGAGAGTGTAAGTGCATTGGGTTTCTGGCAGGCCTTGATGCTGTTCAAGGTGAGAGATGAGGCTGGCATTATTCATTTAGCAGATGATTTTGATCAAAGTGACTTAGAATTTAATAAAAAAACTAACAATTTCAAGGAACACTTCACCCAAAAATGAGCATTCTGTCATAATTTACTCCCTCTCGTCATTTAACTTGCTACTTTCTTTCATTTCTTTCCTTGGAAAACAACATTTTAAAAACTTTACTTTAGAAGGCTAAGGATATATATCACTCTAAGAAAAGTCCATAAATCAATACCTGACTCACTAAGCAATTAAATATGCAATGTGTTGAGGTCACATAACAGCAAAGTAAGTACGCATTGCATAGTGCATATCGTTTCATATGCTATATTGACAAAAGTAGTCAACAGGAAACTTTATATTATGTAGTAAACAGTATGCTAGGATGGATCCAGACAATGGCAACGTCTTAAAACACAATTGTGACCCTGGACCACAAAACCAGTCATAAGGGTCAATTTTTCGAAATTGAGATTTATACAATATCTGAAAGCGGAATAAATAAGATTTCCATTGATGTATGGTTTGTTAGGATAGGACAATATTTGGTCGAGATACAACTATTTGAAAATCTGGAATCTGAGGGTGCAAAAAAATCTAAATATTGAGAAAATCATCTTTAAAGTTGTCCAAATGAAGTTCTTAGCAATGCATATTACTAATCAGAAAATTAAGTTTTGATATATTTACAGAAAGAAATTTACAAAATATCTTCATGGAACATGATCTTTACATAATATCCTAATGATTTTTGGCATAAAAGAAAAATCAATAATTTTGACTCATACAATATTTTTGGCTATTGCTACAAATATACCCCAGCGACTTAAGACTGCTTTTGTGCTCCAGGCTCACATTTGGTGCACACTTGAGAAATCTTCAGTCCAGTCTCTGTATCTTTGTCTTGTGTATAAGCTAATAATCAGTCTAATCTACTTTCTGATATTGGGCCAGCACTTTACTGCAGTTCCCATTTCATTTAAACGACGCAGGGGTTGGGTGGCCTCCAAGATGCAGAGATATTTGCGTTCATTCCTAGACGAGAGAGAGAAGCAGAGAGAGAGAGAGCGTCTCAAATCTGTTACATAACCCTACCCAGGCTTAAGTTATGTAAAACATATGTTTTCAATCAGCTGTGAGATCCAGTGCTGAGCTATGTATGTTTGTCAGTGGGAACCCATTGATCAGGTTCTCATAACCCCAGGACCAGTGTTAACCCTGCGTAGCCTGACATCATGACTAATACAAGTCAGAAAAATCTCATTTTTTGAAACGGAACAGTTTATCGATCCGACAAAATATTATTATGTGTTTTTTGTTCTTTCTTGTCAAGCATCATATTTGATACATCAGGCTTTTATGGCTCTTACAGTATGATATAAGAGAATATGATGCTCATTTTCGAGGACAAAAAAACACATACATTTTATTCAGAGGCCCAAACGAGCAAAAATATGCAATTTGGTGCAGATGCTGATATTTCCATGGCCAAAGAGTCAGCCGTGAACCACTACCTGAAGGTGGGCGTTTTTAGAATGATATTAAACAGCCTTTTACTTGTTAAAATAATGTAAACTATTAATCAGACAACAGAAGGCATGTAGTAGATTGTGTACAACATGCTTTTCAGCAAAGTTTTGATCATGTTTAAAATTTAGAGACCTTAAAAATTTGAGGATCAACAGAGCTGGGTAGATTACTTACACATTGTAGTCTTTTGCTGATTACTAATTACATGATGAAAATTGTAGACGGTAATGTAATTGATGTAAATGGTAGATTACTAATTTTAGGTAATGTATTCGGATTACTTTTGGATTACTTTTGACCTAACTTGTTTATTGATTTAAACGGGATTATTGATTATTGATAACATCAGAAAACATGCAAATGTTGTTAATTATTTGAAAAATTAACTTTAAATCAATTTAAACCAAGTAAATATTTTAGATAAGTTTGACTGACAAAAAAAGTTTGGGAATCCCTGCATCACATGAAAAAACACTAAGAAACATGAATATAGCAATGACATGGACAAAGTCTTCCAGGTTTTAAATATATTATACTGTATGAGAATAAATAAATTACAAATAATTTAATGCCATTGTGTGTAATCATGTAATTCATAAAAAGTAACTGTAATCTGATTATGAGCATTTTAAAATGTAATATAATCTAATTACAAGTACTAAAATTTTTTTCATCTTGTCGTTTTTAATCACATCGTTACTATACCCAGCACTGAGTATCAAATATGATACAGCAGGCTTTATAGGGTTAAGAGTCTTCTGTTCCAACAATGTTGATTTAATTGATTACATTTGTATGTCTTGCAAACATTTGATTTACTGTGATGTTTTGAACATTGTCCTGCAAACTCTGCCGATGTAAAAATATCAGCAACGTGACATTATTTAGCTGACTGACATAGTGACAGTGATTGGGATCATGTTGGAGGCATCATTTACAATCAAATTGCTAAATAAATCAGTCAAAACAAATCAAACAGTATTTCACACCATGTGCATATGAATATACTGAGGTTTCCAGCAAAACAATCCATATATGTGACCCTGGAGCAAAAAAGCAGTCATAAGTAGCATAGTTATATTTGTAGCAATAGCCAAAAATACATTGTATGGGTCAAAATGATCCATTTTTCTTTTTACCAGGTACACACACACACACACACACACACACACACACACACACACACGCAGACAGAAACTTGTCGTCAACACCACCCCGCAAATTTATCAATAAAATAGTTTTGCAGCTGAAAAGTTACATAACATTTCTCAGTAGGGAGGTTCTTGAAGCAGTTTAACTTAAAGATTCGCTATTAGTAGACGCTGCTGCTGAACACTTCTGAGAGTGTGACCCTGGAGCAAAAAAGCAGTCATAAGTAGCATAGTTATATTTGTAGCAATAGCCAAAAATACATTGTATGGGTCAAAATGATCCATTTTTCTTTTATGGCAAAAATCATTAGGATATTAAGTAAAGATCATGTTCCATGAAGAATTTCCTACTGTAAATATTTCAAAACACAATGAAGAGATATATAATATTTTGTTATACTATACTTAAAGATTCGCTATTAGTAGACGCTGCTGCTGAACACTTCTGAGAGACGCACAGACGTACATATTCACACGCACTTAATCTCTCTCTCTCTAATAACTGCATTCGCCTGCATATCAATGGCTCAAGCCTGTTATTAGCTCTAAAATGACGTTTTGGAATTTACAATGGAAGGTTTGGGATGAGGTGCGTAAAAAATAGTTCAACATATTTCAGGATGAAAACATGTCAAATGTCTTGAAACAAATCATCTGAACAATGTCTTGATGTGTGGTTGTGACTCCTGGCCATTAAAATTATTAGAGAAATAACTCCCGAAGTGGTTATTATATGGCCACGTCGCCGCGCCTATTAATGGAACGGTCTTTCTGAGTTCTCAAACAAATTAAGAGCTACATTCGATTTTTATTGCCTGAACGTAAGCGCTTATTGCGATAGAAAACACTGTAACGGTTTCACTGATTAAGAAATATGTTTGTTTGCTTGGTTGGTAATATTAGGCCTATTATATTATTAGGGAAGGGGGGCCCAAAAATTGGTTTTGCCTATGTTACGAAAAGAGGTCAATCCGGCCCTGCGCACTTTGATTGCAATCTACCGTAAATATTTGAAAACGTAATTTTTGATTAGTATATGCATTGCTAAGGACTTCATTTGAACAACTTTAAAGGCGATTTTCTCAGTATTTTGACATTTTTATTTTATTTTATTTTTTTGCACCCTCAGATTCCAGATTTTCAAATAGTTGTATCTCGGCCAAATATTGTCCTCTCCTAACAAACATCACCTAATACATCAATGGAAAGCTTATTTATTCAGCTTTCAGATGATGTATAAATCTCAATTTTTTTTTTTTAAATGACCCGACTGGTTTTGTGGTCCAGAGTCACATATTATTAATATTTTAGACATATACATTTATGTTGTATTTTATAGCCTACATATTTTACAAATAGTGGAGATACCCTTTTAAATAATAATAATTCTTAGTTATTTTGAACTGCATTTAAATTAGAACCTAAATGGTTTTCCAGTTACTTTTAATATAGGCTAGTTCTTTAGAAAACTGTAGTGATGCTCCACAAACCAATACGCTGATCTGAAGAATAGTGTAACGTCAAGACGTTCTAATCTCTAAAGAACCACATGGCAGCTCAAGAACTATATACGGGGAACATTTAGATTTTTAAGAGTACATGAAGAGGGTATTAGCGCTCATCCCACTTGATGCCTATGACAGAGTCAGCAACCCAATCCATACAGATGCGGTGCGGGAGTGCTCTTCAATCACGGACACGGAGCGAAGGGGCGGGGGAATGAGAGAGAGAGAGCACAGGCTGATCTCGATCTATGTCCCTCAGACATCTTTCTATGTTGTAATACACAGAGCAGAGGACGCGTTGGCGGTGGCACAGCAACCCATCATGCGCACCGTCTTCTGAAAACGTTCAGCGGTAGGCTATAACGCATCGCGTCTGTTTCAGTGTTTGCGAATGGAAAACTGCGGCTGCGAATGGATGAAGGCTGGTTTAACACTCGTTGATCATGTTTGTTTCAGGCGCAGGGATGGCTTAGTCGCGTGCGGAGCGCCGATGCTGCACGATGAGTGTAGCGCTGCAAGATTTACGAAATAACGTGAGTCGCTTTTCATTACAACAAAAACATCTGCAAGCCGTCTCATTGGCAGAACATGGGGTGAACGGAGCGAAGCTGCTTTCAATTGATTCTTGGCACGGAATACGGCGAATTCTGCACATTTGGAGATAGATCGCATCAGTGTTATCGCGCGTCTGTTTTTAATGTTTACTCTTCGATTGCGCAAGGACTGATGTAACGAAACGCACGACAAATCATTGTATACTCGCGTACAACGCAGCTGTATTTATTTTAACAACTGTTTTAATTACATTCGGGTTTCCCGCAGTCGTTTCCGCGTTTCATTAATCACAAAGAACCTTTTTAAGGAAAATAAACAGTCAAAATGCTCTCGAACGAAGATGAGTTAGTGCTGCTCTCTGTCGCAAACAAACTATGTATTGTAGCGCTGTTCCTGAGTGACACTTACACCGACCGTTCGGTTTCCAGAATAGCACATATTCCTTTCTGTAGAGCTGTTTCCTACACAAGACCGACTGGTTTTTATTCATTGACTCTTTTGTTCGAGGTTTCGCTTGTTTGTTTACAGGGAGTGGCTACGAGAGCATCTCAAGTTGCACGACGCTTTACGGACTGGCCTGCGTTACCATGGCAACTAGAGCGCTGGGGGGTCGCGCGGGGATATAGTTGTAACAGGTATATGCCATTTTCCCGCGAAATCTTACTTTTACTTTTGGCTACTTTTTAAAAATATCTATATCATTTCATGAGTGTTTGTTGATTATAGGTTTTATATACTAGAAAGTGGGCCAATTTAGTCCCAAGGAGTATTGAAATAGTACACTTACAAGTATACTACTAGTACACTGATATTTGTATACTTACTACATAAAGTATACTTAAAAATATACTTGAACTTTACTTAAGTATACTTACTAACATAAACTTGAAGTATACTACTTTTTTGGTAAGGGCAACCTGAACATTAGAGGGGTTATTATACAATCGTGAGTCGTGTCAATGCAAAATAAAATGTTTTGTTATATAACTTATATGTTATGTAGGCCTACTATGTGTGGAGACATTTAATTTAATTGAACAAAACAAAACAAACATATATGAAAATGGCAGAGTAAATATGAGTAGGTAAAATTCAAAATACAGGTAAAACATTTGCATTTACATTTAGTCATTTAGCAGATGCTTTTATCCAAAGCAAATTACAAATGAGGACAATAGAAGCGATCAAAATCAACAAAAGAGCAATAATATGTAAGTGCGGTGACGAGTCTTGATTAATCTAATGCAGTACGTAATGTTTTTTTATATAATAAACAAAAAGAAAACAAGTAGACAGAATAGAAAAAAAAGAATAGGGAAAGCTAGTGTTAGAGGGTCATTTTTTAAAATAAACAAAAATAAAACAAGTAGTTAGAAAAGAGATAGAACAGAGAGTGCAAGTGTTAGATGGTCAAGTGTTTTTTTTAATTTATTAATTTATTTTTTTTATAAAAAAAAAAATATATAATAGAATTAGAATAGAGAGTGCTAGAGATAGAGGGTCAAATGAAGATGGAAGAGTTGTCTTTAGCCGTTTGTTGTCTTTAGATGACTAAGCTCAGATTGATTTGGGCAGGTCATTCCACCAGCAGGGAACTGTTAATGAAAAAGTCTGTGAAAGTGAAACACTTGTAAAAAAAAAAAAATACATGTGGAAAATTGCTTGAAATTATTACAATACGTTGTGGCCTATTTTTACAGATTTTTTTTAGAGTGTATCTGCCAGGCAAAAACTGTACGTCTAACAGCACTCCTCTCCTCAACAGCCCACACAGTTTCAGATATCACTCATGTCCGTATGAAACAGTGTGGGACTCGCTGAAGCTCAATACGTAGGATAAGGGGGTTTTGAAGAACCCATCACCCAATCTTAGCAATCACCTCTAATAACTAAGACTTAATGTAGCCAGAGCGGATGTGAATGCATTCATGTAAACACGCACGGTTTCAGTCATTTGGGAGGAGTGCTCAGAGGTCATGATGGAGCTGCTCTAATTAGCCCGTCCAAGATGCTGTAAATCAATTACTGCTAGCAGAGCGAGAGCCATTTCCACAACTTTGTTATCTGGATCAGCAAGATAATTTATTTGCAGACTGACGCATGTCGTACACTGTGTTCCAGGTCAGTGTACTAATGTTATATGTTCACCATAAAAAATGATGAATGATCGCCACAGTTCCTGTAAAGAGAAGAGACTGCTACAGTCTTACCCCTCAACATACTGAATGTAGAGCATGTACCCTTGTTATTTTAGTGAATGTTTCAATAGTTTCAATAAAGTATTCAAATTTAGCAAATAATTTGAAACCAATGCAGTTTTGTAGAATGTTGTTCCAACATACTCTCATATAAATATCTTTTACATTTTGCCAAATTGGTGGCAAATTTGTATGAATTCATATGACTTCATAATCTGCTTATGTCCCACTAAGGATTAGGTTTAGGGGTGGACCTTTTTTTCTAAAACTTGAAGAACTGAAATCATACAAATTAATATGAAATCACCACCCTTTCGCCAAAATGTAAAATAGTTATGTTTTCTCATTAAATATAGTGGGATAGTTCACCCAAAAATAAGAAATTCTGTCAGCATATCCTCACAGCCATGTAGTTTCAAACTCATTAGACTTCATTTCTTCTGTGGAACCCAAAACAAATTATTTTGAAGCATGTTTCCACTGTTTTTTTGTTTGTTTGCCTATACAGTGAAAGTTAGCTAGGTCCAATACAACATTATATTGAACCTCTTTGACTTTCATTGTATGAACAATAAAACGCTGAAACATTTTTCAAAAGATCTTTCATGTTCCACAGAAAAAAGAAACTCATACAGGTTTGGGACGGCATGAGGGTGAGTAAATGATGACAGTAGGGCTGTGTGCGACATTGACATAAAATTATATCTCAATATATTTTGAGATTTTTTCAATAATGATAATTAAACAATGTTTTACTAAGTGTTTTTTTATGCTGCTACTTTGGCTGGTTTAGGCCTGTGATGGATAAATAAATATGACACTAAAACCGCCAGTAGGTGGCAGCAAGTCCCTGTCTTATTGAGTGATTCATTGAATCAGTAATTCAAATGATTTGTTGAAAATGGCTGATTCATTTGGAAACGAAGCAAGTGGCTGTCTTTATGAATGGATTATTGAATCATTGAGCTAAATCAGCGGTTCTCAATTCCAGTCCTCGCGCCCCCCGCTCTGCATATTTTGCATGTCTCTCCTTCTTAACACAACTGATTCAGATAACCAGCTCGTTAGAAGAGAGCTACATGCATGAACTGTGTTCCGATTGATATGATCCCTACACAGTGTTCATTGCTTCCTACTCCCTGAGCAGGGGAAATCCGTTGAAGTTTACTTCACTTCAGAACATTCATTCACGGATTTGCGCTGCGCAGCGTCTTCACACGCAGACAAAACTTACTAGAGAAGTGTGAAGTGGGACATAATATACCTCTGTAAATAAATACAACTGGAATCATGGCGGAATATACTGTGATGTCCACTTCGCAGGGCACTTACGTTCGAATAGAACAAACGTCTGAAGCGATAAGAGATACACACAAAATGTGCAGAGCGGGGGTGGCGTGAGGACTGGAATTGAGAACCGCTGAGCTAAATGATTTGTTCTGAAACAGATTCAGGATTGATGTATGCGCAAATGTACTGCTCTGGCTTTGTTTGGAACTATTTTCATTGGTGGAACAAAAAAAAAAATAGACAATAGTGTACCTAAAATGTAACTCACTCGATAATAACTTCTTGTTTTTTTAAGGAGTTGTATATTAGTATCTCATTTGCACTAATGTTAAGGAAAATGGCACTCTTGCTTGCATTATAGTACTTAACTATATCATATCTAATATGACATAGTTAGAACAAAAACCCATACAGGGATATTTTTTTGCCCTCATAATTTGAATTATTGGTGCATCTAATTGGCTTAATCGTGCAGTGAATGCTTTTGAACTCTCAAGATGTGTTTTTGTTTGTTTTTCAAAGTGAGTGATATACTCGATAAGGTCTGCTCGCACACTGTTAAAACAACAATTACGATATTATCATAGATGATAAATATCTCACACCCCTAGATGATAGGATTTTCATTTTTGGGTAAACAATCCCTTTAACTCTTTCCCCGCCATTGACGGAATTTTCAGGCTTTCCGTGTTTTCACTGGTGTACAGTAGGAGGTGCTATTACACATCTTCTGAGGCTATGTTTACACAACAACAATGTAGTCAAAATAATGGAAAATTTTTCCCTTGCGTTTTTAAAAAGTTTTAAAAAGTATACACGACAGCGTTTTTTCTCAAAACGATTCACGTTAACACATATCCGCAAAAATGGCCAAAAACGCTGTATTACATATGCCAGGCCAGTAGTGTTTACACATATCCGCGAAAATGGCCAAAAACGCTGTATTACGTATGCCCGGCCAGTAGTTGGCGCTGTCACCTTGTTAGTAAACAGTACCTGTAGGGAAGTGACGATTATATGTTGTATATGATGCGTCTCCACTGTTGGTTGTAATATTGGTGAAGTAAATCCACACTTTGCTGAAGAAGCGTTAGCAAACTCTTGAGCAGCAACAACAGTAACATGTACTCCGCCATTGTTGTGTATGTTTGTTTGCGCTTGCCTTTAAAATCGACACGTACTGCGCATGTCCACATACCTGACACGTACTACGCACGTGCATGACGTCACCGTTTTCAAAGATCCCCGGTATTCTGTGTTTACACGGAAACGATAACGGTGGCGTTTTCAAAAACTTCCACTTTGAAACCCGTTTTCAAAATTATGCGTTTTTAGTCCCCAAAACGCCGTTGTCGTGTAAACGAACAGGCAAACCGCATAAAAAGTTTCCCGTTTTTGGCTGAAAATGTTGTCGTGTAAACGCCCCCTGAAAGAGTATTGAACGTCTAGATCAAAACACGGCGAAGAAGCAGCAGAAACAAGCGATCGTG